TCTGGTTAGCAGTCAAGTGCCTTAGGCACTAGGCTACCAGAGCTCCTACAGTAGAAGATATAAAAAGACAAGGTCCCTGCCCTTAAGGTGCCTTTAGTCAAGGGCTTCTAGTCAAGCAGAGAGTCCTTCCAGGGCTTAATTTGCTAAAGAACAACTGCTTGTAATAAGTGAGGTAGGGAGAGGAATAGTATTCCTTAAAAAGTACAAGTTTGGTGTGGGAGGAAGGAATACTCACCTAGGTTCTCTCCATTACCCTAAAAAGGGCAAGAACAAGGTCAATATAAGGTCAATCTAAGCATCCACCTTCAATTTATTGAGCACCCACGCTATGCCAGCTCTTGTACTAGAGGCTACAGATAAGTAAATCAATGATAGCCCCACCTTCCAAGAGCTTGAAGATCAGCGGAGAGACAAGGACGTGAAGGAATATCCTAAATAGAAGGACGGAGCCAAGGAGACTAGGGAAGCAAGGGAAAGGGGGCCTAACCCATGCTGGGATAATCAGGGAAACTTCTGGGGACAGGGGTTGCTCCCTGTACTGAGTCTTAAAGATGAGTCTTAAAGATGTTCAGGAGGCAGGAAGGGCATGTGAGGGAGCAGGACAAAGGCAGAGAAACAAGATGCTGGCTTGAGGATCCTGTGGCTAAACTGCAAGTAGCGTGGTATTTCAGGAGCTCAAAGGAAGGGAAAGTGATGGCAGAGGTAAGCAGGGGCCAGAACCTCCATTCATCCCTCATGGGGTCATCCTCTGCCTAGTTGTTCCCCTTGCCCCACTGAATCACTTGCAAAACCAAGCCCATTGCCATTGGGTCAATTCCACCTCACAGGGGCCCTAGAGGACAGAGTAGAACTGCCCAATTGGGTTTCCAAGGCTATAAATCTTTACAGAAGCAGACTGCCACATCTTTCTCCTGCGGAGCAGCTGGTACATTCGAACCACTAACCTTTTGGTTAGCAGCCAAGCACTTAACCAATGTGCTACTAGGATTCCTTTTGGACCACCTGTTGTTGTTGTTGTTATGTGCCGTCAAGTCGACCCCAACTCATAGCCCCCTAGCCCCTCCCATATATCCTGCAAGCATACCCTCCAATGCTAGTGCAGACCTTGGGTGTTAACTAATTGCTGGCTAAATGAGTGCCTGAGGGGGTAAATTAATTACAGTCATACCTCAGAGATATTGAGGATTTGGCTCCAAACCACAGCAATATAGTGAATATAGCAATAAAGCAAGTCACACAAATTTTTTGGTTTCCCTGTGCATATAAAAGTTATGTTTCAACTCAACAACTCAACTCACTGCCATCGAGTCAAATCCAACTCATAGCGACCCCCATGAGGTTTCTGAGGCTATAAATCTTTATGGAAGTAGATAGCCCCATCTTCCTTCTGTGGAGAAGCTGGTGGGTTTGAACCGCTGACCTTCTGGGTAGCAGACAACTGTCTTACCACTACGCCACCAGAGCTCCTTATATTATAGTCTTTTAAGAGTGCAATAGTATTATGAAAAGGTTTGAAATATTATGAAAATGACCAAAATGTAACATAGAGACATAAAGTGAGCATATGCTGTTGGAAAAATGGCACTAATAGACTTTCTCAACTAAAGGGGGAAAAAAAAAACATTCTCCACAGAACACAATTAAAGTGATGTGCGATAAAATGAGGTATGCCTGTATAGCATTTCCCTGAGCACGAGCAGAGTTGCTTTCACCTCTGTGATCCAAGTGCCTAGTACTGGGCTGGCACACAGTAGGTGCTCAGCAGTGCAAGCCGCAAAATTCTTCCGGGGCAGGGGCTGGATTCCAGAACAGGGCCTCCCACGCCGATCATTTGAATCAGGTCAACCAAGCTCTACCTTTTCTTCAGGTATCAACTCACCTCCAGCTCTACTAGAGCCACGTCCACTGCCAACCACTGTGCCCATTTTAGAATATGGGTATCATTAATAGCCCAAACCCCCACCACCCTCAAGCCCTTGGCCAGAAGGTAGTAAAGGGCAGTGGTTAAAAATTGGGTACCAGGAACTTGGATTTGAACCCTCACTCTGCTACTTCCTAGCTCTGTGCCTAAGAAAGTCTCTTAACCTCAGTTAAGAGCCTCAGTTACCCTT